AGGAGTCGGCGACGGCCTGGAGCGGGTCGCCGCCGAGGCGCAGGACGGCGCCGAGGGCCGCGAGGTCCGAAAAGTCCGCGGGCGCGCCCTCGGAGTAGACGCGGAACTCGAGCGGTCCCCGGAAGCGCCTCCGGAGCGCGTCGCTCGCCATCAAAGTCGCGTACCACGCGTTCGGCGCGTAGCGCGACGTCCAGTTGCCGGGCCCGACGTCGCCGCGGCGCACGTGGACGGCGACGACCGCGGCGCCGCGCGGCTTTCGGGAAGGCGGCGGGAGCGCGTCCGGCCCGCGCGCCGCGGCCGCGCGCCGCGCGGCGAGCGGCGCCGTCCACCGCGCGCCGTCGCCCCGGAAGAGGTCGGGACCGAGCTTGAGGCGGTCCCGCTCGTAGACGACGCAGGCGACGGACGCGTTGGCGGCGAGCGGTCCGAGGCCGCGCCACGTACCCGGCGCCGCGGAGACGCACGCGCGCGCGTCGGCGCCGAGCCGCGGCAGGCCGAGGCCGCCGAGGAGCGCGTCGCAGGCCCAGCCGTGGCTCGACCGGCCCGCGTCGCCGACGATGCCGCCGGCCTCGAAGCCGAGGGCGTCGGCGACCCACACGAGATGGACGGCCTGCTGGGCCTGGGCGCCGCAGCCGTCGTGCTTGGCGCGGATGTAGAGCTTCGGCCTGGCCCCGGGGTGCCCCGCGACGGCGGATAATGCCAAAAAGTAGGCCACGGCGGCGACCATCATCTCTTTTTGGAGCGTTAGACCATATGCCTCCCCTGTGGCGAAACGATCGATCGATCGGCGACTGCGCCCGTGGACGAGAGGTGGTCTTAGCGGTGCCGACCGACCATGTTTCGTGCGATCGTTATCGTCCTTACCGCGTCCCTCTTCGTCGCCGCGAGCGAGAAGGACCCCTTGGCGCCCTACGTCTTCGTCGCCGGCGTCGAGGGGACGGGCCACCACTGGTTCACGAGTTTCTTCGGCCACTGCTACGCGGCGGGCGCGTGCCGGAACTCCGACGTCGGGCTCTTCATGTGGCAGTGGGTGCTGGCGCAAATCGCGGAGCGCGAGGACGTCGCGCGATTCGCGGAGCGCGAGGCCGCGGCCCTGGCCGCGCGCGCGGCCGCCACGCGCAAGCGGCTCGGCGTGCTCAATACCCTTAAAGGGGCAGCCAAACTCGTCGGCAAAGAATATCGCAAAAAAGGAAGCAACATGACGATCCTCTGCTTGGCCTCGCTGCAAAAGAAAGTAAACCCAAACTGCGAAAAATTCGAAAAAGGCGAGCAGAGCTACCCGAACTACGGCGGTCCCCGCAAACCCGAGCAGATGCCCGAGATGGGGTTCCTCGCGACGGCCCTGGGGGCGCACGGCCAGCTGCGCGTCGTCGTGCTCACGCGCGACGCCGCGGCCATCGCCGCGTCCGTCTGCGACCACCGCCACTTCGGGGCCCCCCTGCTCCGCTTCTCCGGCAAAGCGACGGGCGACAAGGCCGCGGACGCGAAACTGCAATGCGCCAAGGAGTTGGAGCTCCTCGCGACGGCCGCGCGCCTCATCGCGGCCCAGGTCGCGGCCCTCCCGGCGACGGTCGTCTGCGACCACTACGACCAGAAGGACCTCACCGACGCGACGCGGGGCGGCCTCGCGCGGCTCGGCGCCTACCTCGGCATCGACGCGCCGACCTTCGCGGCGGCGACGAACAAGGGCCACAAGCCGAAAAAGAAAAAGGAGCCGCCCCACCCGGAGCGCGACGCGCTCATCGCCGCGCTCACAGAAGCGCAGGAAGGCGCGGCCGCCGCGTGCCTCGCGCGGCGGCCCGCGTAAGTCATGGTTTCCTCGTACTACGAATGACGCTTACCCGGCGGCGGCGGCGCCGTCGTCGAAGGCGAGGAGGCTGAGCATGCGCCGGGGCGCGGGGCCGGCCGGGTCCTCGCGGACGTGGGGCGCGCGCGCCGCGTGGCGCCCGCGCTCGAAGCCCCGGTACATGCCCTCGAGGAACCGCCGGCGCTGGTCGTCGAGGGTCGCCGCGGGCTTCGGCGCCCCCCGCGGCGGCCGCTTGCGGAGCACGAAGTAGGCCGCCGGGTGGTCCCAGTCGAAGGCGGGCCCGAAAGCGACGGCGTCGAGGCCCGCGGCCTCGAAGACCGCGAGCCAGCCCTTCCGGTCGCGGAAGTTGTAGCCCTCGGTGCCGCTGTCGGCCGCGTGCTCCGCGTTGTAGGCCTCGAAGCCGGGGAGGTCGAGGTCCTCGCAGACGAGCACCCAGGCGTCGGAGCAGCGCGCGAGCTCCGCGACGAGCGGCCCCTGCTCCGCGAGGGGCACGTGGTGCAGCACGTAGGCCGCGGAGGCGACGTCCGCGGACGAGTCGGCGCAGGGCAGCGGCAGGGACTCGTACCACTCGACGTCGGCCCAGGGCGAGCCGGACGCGACGCCCATGGTCTTCCCCGCGCCGCCCGCGCCCCAGCCGGTCCGCTCGAGCGCGCGGAACGACGCCAGGCCGTAGACGCGGCGCGCGATCTCGCCCGCGGACCCGTCGCCCGCGCCGACGTCGAGCAGTCGGAACCCCTCGACGTCGACCATGGCCGCGAGCGCGCGCCACGCGCGCGACGACGCCCAGAAGCGGCCCGGGTCCGTCGCGCCGCCGCCGGTCCGCGGCCAGCGCCGCGCCGCCGCGGGCACGGCGGCCAGCGTCCCGGCGGCGTGGTCCGCGAGGAAGCAGGCCTCGTCCGGGTGCGCGGCGCCCGCGCGCGGCGCGCAGCGGCGGCCCTCCGCGCGGCCAAAGTCCAGGTAGTGGTCGCGGAAGTCGGCCTCGGGCATCGCCGCTCGGACGTCGGGGTTCTCGGCGCCGTAGGCAGCCCAGTCGCAGTCGGCGACCAGGGCGCTGCGCTGCGCGAGGCAGTCGTCGCCGCGCGCGACGAGCGGCGGGAGGCAGAGCGACCAGAGGATGGGCGCTGCGATCCCTCTCCGCGAGCGGCGACGCGTCGCAGCGGCGGGCCGCATCAATCGGAGAGAGCTGTTGTTGCTATGCTCGGTGAGGCGCGAGGCCGAGCTCGCACAAAGCCATCATCGAGAGCTGCCCGGTCGACGCTGAACCAGCGTTGAACCAGCGTTTCAATGGGCTCCATCGTCATCTTCGCGGCCGCCGCCTTCCGCTGCCATGGGCAAGGACGCGGACCTGACGGAGGCCATCGGCTGGGCGGCGCTGGGCCTCGGCGCTTTGGCCGTGGCGCTGGCGCTGCTGCGGCTGCTGCTGAGCCCGGCGCTCGTCGGCGCGCTCCTCTCCGGCGCCGCGGGCCTCGGCGTCGCCTACGCCTTCGGCGTCGTGGACCGGCTCGCGGCGTGGTACGCCTGCTACGACCTGAGCGAGCGCCTCGGCGCGGCCGTGCGCGTCGGGTCGCTGGCGAGCGCGCTGTCGCGGACGAGCGGCGCCGTCGTCGCGGGCGACGTCGCGCTCGCGATGGCGGCGGGCTTCCCCGGGGGCGGCGACGCGCTCGAGGTCGGCGCTGCGGGGGTCGAGTTCGACCTCCGGCGGAGCGTCGAGACGCGGGGGCTCGTCGTGACGAGCGCCAAGCTCCGGGACGTGCGGGTCGTCGTCGCGCGGCACGCGTCGGGCCTCGTGAACTTCCAGCTCCTCGACGCGGCGGCGCGGAAGGCGTTCTACGCGGCGCGGGAGGCCGAGGCGGCGCCGGAGGCGCCGGCGGCGCCGGAGCGGGCCCTGACCATGGAGGAGATGTGCGCGGCCGCGGCCGCGGAGGCGGAGGAGGACGAGGCGGCCGAGGTCGCCGCGGAACTGCAGGCGCTCCACGCGCCGCCCGGCGGCGGCGGCGGCGCGGGCGCGGGCGCCGCCGTCGGCGCCGCCGCGGACCTCGCGTCCGCGGGGCTCGACGCCGTCGGCAGCGGCGGCGGCGCGCTCTGGGACGCGCTGTCGACGTCCGCGGCCGCGGCGACGGGCGCCGTCGGCGGCGCCGTCGACGGCGCGTCCCGGAGCGCGACGGCCTACGAGGCGACGGCGCGCAAGACGAAGGCGAGCCGGCGCAACTCCGTGCAGGCCGTCGCCCTCTCGGCCCTCGACGCGTCGCGGTCCGCGCGCGAGGCCGTCGGCGGCGCCGTCGAGAGCACGCAGGCGTCCGCGGCGACGTGGGCGCGGAACACGGTGTCCGCCAAACTGAAAGCCTGGCTCGAGTCCATCATGACGGGCACCGACGGGCCGCCCGTCGACCCGCCGAGCTTCCTCTACCCGGGCGTCACCTTCGTCGGCGCGGTCCACATCGACAACCTCACCGTGGAGCTCGTCGCGCCCGACGGCTCCGCCGTGCTCGCGCCGCCGCTCGTCCTCGAGGAGATCGTCGCGACGAGGTTCGCGCTCAAGAAGGCGCGCGCCGACGACGCGCTCGCGCCGCCGGAGCGCGTCCTCCTCCGCTGCCTCAAGGCGCTCATCGACGCGGGCATCGCCGACATCTGCGAGAGCCGCCTCGACGAGGCCCGCCGCATCGCCGTCAACGTCGGCTCCGCGGTCACGAAGGAGGCCGTCGCGCTGCCGAAGACGGCCGCGGTCGTCGCCGAGGCGAAGACCGTCGCGCGCCGCGGGTCCGTCATGATCGCGGGGAAGTAAGCGGCCCCGGACTGCAAGCTGATGTCGTCAAAGAGGTCGATTCCGAGCATGGCACCTTGCTCGCGGAGCGCCGCTCTCGTGCTTGGTCGTTGGAACGGCGCGGCATTGCGCGCGCGCTCGACTCGGAGCATGGCAATCTCGCGGAGCGCTGCTCTTGCTGCGTTGCGCGCGCGCTCGCTCACCACGAGCAGGCGCCTCGTGACGCGCGCCGCGGTCTGCGAGGCCTTTGGCGCGCCGGTGGTCGTGCGCGACGACTGGGCGCTGCCGCCGCTGGCGCCGACGTCGGTGCACGTGCGCTGCGAGGCCGCGGGCCTGAACTTCGCCGAGGCGCTGCAGTTGAAGGGCGAGTACCAGGAGAAGCTCGAGCCGCCCTTCGTGCCCGGCAACGAGTGCGCGGGCGTCGTCGTCGCCGTCGGCGCGGCCGTCTCGCGCTGCGTTGTCGGCGACGCCGTCCTCGCGCTGCCGCGCGGCGGCGCCTGGGCCCGCGACGTCGTCGTGCCCGAGGCCGCCGTCGCGCCGCTCGGAAGCGGCGACGACGTCGACTTCGCGAGCGCCGCGGCGCTCGCGGTCAACTACGGCACGGCGGACCTCGCGCTGGGGCGCCGCGCGGACGCCAAGGCGGGAGAGACGGTGCTCGTCACGGCCGCGGCGGGCGGCGTGGGCCTGGCCGCCGTGGACCTCGCCGTCGCGCGCGGCTGCCGCGTGGTCGCCGCGGCGGGCGACGACGCGAAGCTCCGCCTGGCCCTGGACCGCGGCGCGGCCGCGGGCGTGGTCTACGGAGGCACGGACGCGCGCGAGTTCCGGGCCGCGCTCCGCGAGGCCGCGCCGGAGGGCATCGACGTCGCCGTGGACATGGTCGGCGGCGACTTTCTGGAGCCCATCGTGCGGAGCTTGGCTTTCGACGGGCGCTGCGTCGTCGTCGGCTTCGCGAGCGGGACCATCCCGAAGATCCCCGCGAACCTGCTCCTCGTGAAGAACTGTGCGCTCGTCGGCCTCTTCTGGGGCGCCCACGCGATCCACCGGCCGGCCGTCTTCGCGGACTCGCTCCGCAACGTCGTCGGCCTCTGGCGGGCCGGCGACATCGCGCCCCACGTGTCCGCGACCTACGCGCTCGCCGACGCGGACGCCGCCGTCGCCGCGCTCGTCGAGCGGCGCTCCTCGGGGAAGATCGTCCTCGCCGCGGCGTAACTACACAACAGTCCCGTTACTACTCGGCCGCGCCGCCGTCCGCGGCCTCCTCCGCCTCTTCAGATCGTCCTCGCCGCGGCGTAACTACACAACAGTCCCGTTACTACTCGGCCGCGCCGCCGTCCGCGGCCTCCTCCGCCTCTTTTTTTTTGATCTCGGCGATCTTGTCCGCGACCTGGCCGAGGTAGAGCTCGTCGACCTCGGCCACCTTGGCCTCGAGGGCGTCGCAGGTCTTCAGACACTTCTTCTGGATGTGCAGCGCCTCGTCGACGTGGTCGTAGTTCTCGTCGTTGATCTTCTTCAGCTCCTCCATCAACGCCCGGAGCTCCTCGTCCTTGGCGTCGATCTCCTCCCAGCTCGGCGGCTCCGCCGGCGCGTCCTCGTCCTCGCCGGCGACCTTGGCGACGGCGTCGTCGGACGGCTCGTGGTCCAGGAGCCGGTGGGCGATCTCCAGCGCGTTCGCGAGGTTCTCCTTCGTCGTCCGCGGCGCGTCGACCATGGCGGCCTCGGGTTTGCGCCGCGGTGCCGCAGGAAACGCGCGGCCGGCGACCTGGCGTTGGCTGCAGCCCCGGCGAGCACGGCTGCCCGCGGTGTTGGACGCTGCCCACGAGCTGCCCCAGCGCTCGACGGAAAAAACGATGCGGTTATTAGTGATGGCACCATGCAGCAGCCCGCGAAATTTCCTTTGCTGATGGGGCTTTGAGTGAGAAGGCGCCATGGAACGGTTGGCGCTCGCGTTCGTGGGGACCGCGGCGGCCGCCTACGCGCCGTCGATGTCGCCGTCGATGTCGCCGCCGCCGTCCTACGCGCCGTCGCCGCTGCCGACCTACGGGCCGACGGCGTGCCCGACGCTTGAACCCGTGCCGTCCTACGCGCCTTCGGCGTCGCCGCCGCCGACGCCCCAGCGCGAGTGCACGGACGTCGAGAGCAAGTGGATGGACGACAACGGCTACGACTGCGAAAACGCCGCGGCGTCCTACTTCGTCGACAAGTGCACGGAGAGGAACGACTGGGTCAAGAAGCATTACTGCGAGCAGCGATGCGCGGAGCTCGGCATGGGCTACGTCGACATCGCCTGCGACGCGCCCTCGCGGGCGCCGACGCTCGCGCCGTCCGTGGCACCGACGGCGCCGCCGTCGCCCGCGCCGACGACGCCGCGGCCGTCGCCCGCGCCGACGACGGCCGCGCCGACGCGCGGCGAGGCCGCCCCCGGGCCGTCGGAGAGGAAGGCGTCCGACGGCCTGAGCGTCGCGAGCGGCGGCGCCATCGCGACGATCGTGCTCCTCCTCGCCGCGGGCGCAGCGGCGGCCCTCTGCTTCACGAAGGGCCCGTCCGTCGCCGCGCGCGCGTGCGCGGGCGCGCCCGGCGACGACGCCGCGGGGAACGTCGAGCTCGCCGAGGCCGTCTTCCTCCGCGACACGGCCCCCTCCTCCGACAGAGCGAAGATCGAGGCCGTCCGCGTCGAGGCGGTCCGCGCGCTCGAGGACGGCGACGCGCTCGCGGGCCTCGAGGCCGCCGTCGACGAGGCGGGCTTCGACTCGTCCCTCTACGCCGCGACGGGCGACACGGCCCTCTAGGAGACGGTTACGTCTTCGGCGCCTCCTCCTTGAGGATCCACCGGTTGCCGTCCGCCCAGCGGATGCCCGTCCACGGGTTCGGCGAGTCCTTCTTCGGCTGGTTCCACCGGCCCTCGTGGACGCCGTCGCCGGCGGAGATCTCGTCGCCCTTGATCTCGCCGTCGAAGGCCCACTCGCGGAGCTTGTACTTGTCGATGTTCGCCTGGTCGCACGCGATGACGACGAGCGGCCCGATCCCCCGGGGCCCGACGTCCGTGCCGGAAAAATGCGCGACGTAGCGCCGCGGCTTCGTGTCCAGCGCCTCCACGGTGATGCGCCGCTCGCAGAGCGGGTGCAGCTGGTCGGCGTACTCGCCCTCGAAGCGCGTCACCGTCGCCGGCGTCGCGGCGCAGGCGCCGAACGCCCCGGCGGCGAGGGACGCGCTCGCGACGCAGGACCCGACGGCGCGCCGCAGGGCGGCGCGCGCCGGGACGCGCGGCGCGTCGAGCGCGGCGACCGAGGCCGCGAGCAGCAGAGCGTAGCACATCTTGTGCAGCATCGGCATCGTCTGCAGCTCGATGAGCGGCACGCGCACGGGCGCACAGGCGCCGCCGCGGCGCCGGGCCTCGAGGAGCCGCGCGCCCACCGACGCGTCCGCGGCGCCGCACCCGCCCCCCGGACATCCACACAAGGCGCTTTATATTCGGGATGCAAAAAGGGAGCCCGCGGCCTCAGAAGGTCGAGACCCAGAAGGAGGGCTCCGGCGGCGGCGGCGGCCGGTCGCCGCGCGTGGACGCGGTGAGCGGCGTCGCCGGCGCGCGGGAGGAGCCCGGGCGCGACGGCGTGTGGTAGGGCCCCGGGCTGCGGTAGGTCGGCGTCGCGTAGGTCGGCGGCCGGGGCAGGAGCTCGCCGGCCCGGCGGTTGCTGTTCACCGGCGGCGCGGCCGGGTCGATCCAGCTGTTCCGCCTCGCGTCGAACTCGGAGATGGGCGTCGACCGCGGGAGCGGCGCGAGGTGGCCCGCGGCGGGCGCGAGGCCGTAGGCGCTGTAGGCCGGCGTCCGAGGGCTGCCCCGGACGCGGTAGGCGAAGTCCTGGACGGGCGTGTACGTCGGCGCGTCCACCGGCGGCCGCGCGCCGGGCCTGGGCAGCAAAAGGGTGCGACATTCCCAACTTCAAAGGCTTCGATCTCGGTCGTTTTCCGCTCGTTTCGGCTGATTTTTGGACGAGCGATCATCTCTCGGAGCGCTCTCGAAGCGTGGGTGCTGTTTCCGAAACGCGCGCGCGCGGAACACTCACGTTGAAGCGACGTTGAATCACCCTTTTGCTGCCCTGCCCCCGGCGACGGCGGCACGAGCGCGCGCTCCCGGGGCTCCACGTCCTCGAAGACGAAGGGCGTCACGGGCGTCGGCGGCGCCAGGGGCTCGTCCAGCGGGACGATGGACTCCTCCTCGGGCTCGTAGACCAGCGGGCGCACGGGGCTCGCCTTCTCCTCCTCGGCGCCGCCGTCGTCCGGCGGGTACGTCGTCTCCGGCGGCACGAGGGGCCGGCCGGGCGGCGGCGCGTCCGACGGCGTGAACGTCGGCTTCGTCTCGATGGTCTTCGGGGCCGCGCCGCCCCCGGCGCAGGCCGCGAAAGCGCCCGCGACGCAGACGAGAAAGACGACGCCCGCGACCGCGACGACGAGAGCGCCCCAGGGCACCCAGCACAGCCCCAGGAAGGCCTCGTCGCAGTCGTCGTCGTCGCTCGACGACGACGCGGAGACGTTGATCGTCGGGGCCAAGGACGGTGCCGCGACAAAGTCCAGGACGCACGCGCCGCCCTCGAAGGAACTGTGTGGGAACCACTGGTTTGGGTGGTCCTGACCAAACTTGAGAATTCTCTAGCTCGGTCAAATCGAAGTCGATTCGGCTGATTTTTGGACGGATCGATCGCTCTCGTCGATCTCTCGAAGCCCAGCCAAAGAGCTTGTGTCAAAACATTCGAATACGCTCACATTGAAGTCGGGTTGAAGATTTGGTTTCCACACAGCGAAGGACACGCGGAACGCGAACGCGCAGAGGCTGCTCGGCGCGGCCGACGGCAGGGGCGCCGGCGCGAGGGAGAGCGGCGGCGTCGCCGTCGGGGGGAGGCTCGGGGTCGACGTCGACGGCCGCAGGGACGGCGCCGGCGTCCTCGCGGCGGACGGCGCGCGCGTCGGCCACGGCGTCGGAGTACCGGTCGGCCGCGACGAGTTGCTGAGGACGTCCGTGGGCGTCGGCGTCGGCGCGGGCTGCGGGGCGTTCGACGGCGCGAAGGACGGCGCTATGGATGGCGCGTAGGTCGGCGCGAAGGACGGCGCGGGCGTCGGCGCGGGTTTCGGGTTCGGCGACGGCGCGGCCGTCGGCGTCTCCGAGGGCGCGGCCGTCGGCGCCGGCTGCGGCGCGGCCGTCGGCGCCGGCGCCGGGGCGCCGGTGGGCGCGGCCGTCGGCGCCGGTTGCGGCGCGGCCGTCGGCGCCGGCAGCGGCGCGGCCGTCGGCGTCGCCGACGGCGCGAGCGTCGTCGGCGCGGCCGTCGGCGCGGGCGCGGGCACGGCCGTGGGCGCCGCGGACGGCGCCGCGGACGGCGCCAGGCAGCAGACCTCGGCGTCGAGCGTCAGGGTCGTGGACAGCGCCGGGCTGTCGTCGCAGGACGACACGGCCGCGTCGCCGAAGACGCCGACGACGAGTCCCGTCGCGGTCGCGGGAACGGGAAACGTCACGTCCGTCGCCGGCCCGCAGCCGTACACCTCGCCCGCGCTGCAGCCGTCGAGCGCGCTCGTCCCCAGGTCCGCGGCGTCGCAGGACCGTCCGCCGAAGGCCGCCCCGGAGAAGCCTTGGTGCGTGGCGTTCAGGGCCACGACGGCGGCCCCGCCGAGGTCTCCCTCGAACGTCGCCGAGAGCGCGCCCGCCTCGACGGCGCAGTGCGGCGGGAGCTCCGTGGCATAGTCGAAGGTGTTCAAGATCGCGCAGCTGGGCCCGTCGCAGGAGCCCTGCTTCTCCAACGTCAGCGTCGACACGACGCACGCCGCGCTCGGGCGATTCGTCGGCGCGGGCGACGGCGCGGGCACGGACGGCGCCGCGGTGGGGGCGCGCGTCGTCGGCGCGGGCAGCGGCGCCCGGGAGGGCGCGGCCGACGGCGGCGCCGAGGGTGTCGACGTCGGCGAACTCGTCGGCGCGCCGCACGTCGCCGTCACGCCGTCGAACGCGTCGCACGCCCACGCGTCCGCGGGCTGCACGACGAGCTCGAAGTCGCCGTCCGGGGCGCAGACCTCGGACGTCGCCGTGCGCCAGTTCGCCGACCTCGCGAGGACGAGCGCGTCGTCGCCGGCGACGGCGTCGTCGGCGTCCCTCGGCACCATGGTCCAGCCGGCTAAAACGTCCTCCTGGGCCTGGCGCGCGACGGCGGCGTCGAGCCGCAGCTCGAAGACGGCCCGCGTGCAGTCCTCCGTGGCGGCGCGCGCCGCGGCGACGACGACCAGGAACCGCATCGGAGCAACACAATACAGCTCAGACCCACACCAAAACGGTGGGGGCTGCCCGCAATCGTGAATAGCGCGAGGATTTTTGAGGTGGGCAACTCCCGGTTCAGCGACGCCGGCGACGCAAACCTCCACTCGCTCGAGAATTGCGAAACTCGGCCTGCTGCCTTCGACCATGTCCGCTCTCATGCGCACGAGCCTGTCCCGCCTGCCGCGCCCGACGGCGGCGACGAGCAAGCGCTGGCTGAACCTGCACGAGTACCAGAGCGCGGCGATCATGGCGAGCCACGGCGTCAACGTGCCGCCCGGCATCGCGGCGACGTCCGTCGCCGACGCCGTCGCCGCGGCCAAGGAGCTCGGCGGCGACGAGGTCGTCATCAAGTCGCAGATCCTCGCCGGCGGCCGGGGCCTGGGCACGTTCACGAACGGCTTCCAGGGCGGCGTGCACGTCATCGACAGCGCGAAGACGGCCGAGTACGCCGAGAAGATGATCGGCGCGACGCTCGTCACCAAGCAGTCCGGCGCCGAGGGCAAGCCCGTCAACGTCGTCATGGTCGCGGAGAAGATGAACCTCGTCAACGAGATGTACTTCGCCATCCTCCTGGACCGCGCGTTCGGCGGGCCCGTCGTCGTCGCGTGCGCCGAGGGCGGCACGTCCATCGAGGACCTCGCGGAGTCGTCGCCCGAGAAGATCATCAAGGTGCCCATCGACGTCGTCGCGGGCCTCACGGACGCCAACGCCGAGGCTATTGTGGCTGGTCTCGGGGTCTCCGGCGACAAGGAAGCGGCGAAGAAGCAGATCGCGTCTTTATACGAGGTCTTCAAAAGCTGCGACTGCACCATGGTCGAGGTGAACCCCCTCGCCGAGGACGACCAGGGCACGCTCATCGCCGCGGACGCGAAGATCGGCTTCGACGACAACGCGGCCTTCCGCCAGAAGGACATCTTCGCGCAGCGCGACGAGTCGCAGGAGGACCCGCGCGACGTCGCCGCCGAGAAGTGGGACCTCAACTACATCGGCCTCGACGGGTCCATCGGCTGCATGGTCAACGGCGCCGGCCTCGCCATGGCGACCATGGACATCATCCAGATGCACGGCGGCAGTCCCGCGAACTTCCTCGACGTCGGCGGGAGCGCGACGAAGGAGCAGATCGTCGAGGCCTTCAAGATCATCACGTCGGACTCGAACGTCAAGGCGCTCCTCGTCAACATCTTCGGCGGCATCATGAAGTGCGACGTCATCGCCGAGGGCATCGTCGCCGGCGTCAAGGAGGTCGGCCTCGAGATCCCCCTGGTCGTGCGCCTCGAGGGCACGAACGTCGAGCTCGGCAAGAAGATCATCGACGAGAGCGGCCTCAACATCACGTCCGCCGACGACCTCGACGACGCGGCGAAGAAGGCCGTCGCCGCCATCTAGGAGAAGAAAATCGTACACGCGCGCGCGCCGGCTCCCCCGCTTTCCCCCCGCCGCGGTTCGCGCCCGCATCTAAGGTGTCCAATACAACAAAAAAACGAGCCTAGTCGAGCGCGGGCTTGGGCGACGTCGCCTCCTTCGACGGCGAGTCGGCGGCCGCGTAGGCGCCCGGCCCGCACGACGCCGTCGCGCAGAAGAGGCTCCCCGCGGGGACGCCGCAGGTCGCCGCGGCCCCGTCGGGCGAGTCGACGACGGCCGGTGGTCGCGCCTCGCCGTCCTTCCGCGGCGTCGCGAGCGGCGGCAGCGTCGCGCGGCCGCCCGGCGGCGCGTCGAGGCCGCGCGGCAGGTCGACGTCGACGTCGCTCGACGACGCGCGGGGCTCGCGGCCCGCGTCCGCGTCGCGGCCCGCGTCCGCGTCGCGGCCCGCGTCCGCGTCGCGGCCCGCGTCGCCCTCGGTGCCCTCGTCCTTGCGCTCGCCGCCCGCGTCGTCGCCGCCGTCGTCGCCGCCGCCCCCGAGCATCGCGACGAGCTCGAGGCCCGACGCGTCGCCCTTGGGCGCCTCGACGTCGCCGGCGTCCTCGGGCGCCGCGAGCGCGCCGGAGGGCCGCCGCGGCGACGGCGGCGGCTTCTCGATGGGCGCGCCGCAGCGCCACCAGGCCGCCGCGGAGAAGATGTAGATTTCGTTCATGACCGTGTACGCGATCAAACCCGCGAAGACCCGCGTGCGGTCGTCGTCGTCGTCGTAGAGCAGGAGCAGGATCGCGTAGGCGACGCCGATGTTCGCCTCGCCGACCTCCGTGGCCACGGTCCGCGCGTCGAGCGGGCTCAGTCCCGCGATCCGCGATGGCCAGTAGCCCAGCGCCAGCGCGACGGGGCAGGGGAAGACCGCCGCGAGCCAGCACTTGGGCGGGATCATGCCGAAGGCCTTGGCGTTCGTCACGGAGGCGACGAGCACGGCGGCGGCCAGGAGGCAGATGCCGAGGCCCGCGGCCCTCTTCTCGAGCTTCGCGCCGAGCGCGTCGTCGCGGTAGCGCAGGACGGCGCCCGCGACGGCGCCCGTGAAGACGCAGATGATGGCGAGCATCATGTCGAGCCAGGGCATGGACGCGAAGGTGAAGTTGTCCCCGTGGAAGCGCCGCGCGAAGACGAAGAAGTCGAGCGGGATCGCGATGGACGCCGCGACCTGGGCAGCACAAGGGTGATTCAACGTCGCTTCAACGTGAGTGTTCCGCGCGCGCGCGTTCCGGAAAAAGCATCCACGCTTCGAGTCCGTTCCGAGAGATGATCGCTCGTCCAAAAGTCAGCCGAAACGAGTGGAAAACGGCCGAGAGAGGAGCCTTTGAAGTTGGGAATTTCGCTCTCTTTTCCTGCCCTGGCCGCGACGGACGAGAAGAGCGTGCAGACGATGCCGAGCTCGACGTTCCCGCCGAAGATGATCTCGAGGAGGTTCGACCCGTTGCCCCCCGGCGCGATGGCGCAGAGCAGGAACCCGACGGCGAGCTTGTCCTGGAGCCCGAACCTGCGCGCCGGCGGTGGGACGACATCTCCGGATCGTCGGGAGGGACGCGGGCGGCGCGCAGCAGGCAGATGCCGCAGACGACGGCGGGTCGTATGACGAACTGCACGCCGAGGCACACCATCATCGCCTGCGCGGGGACCGGCGCTCCGGCGAGGAATGCTCCGCGCAACGCCGCGAGCGCGCCGCCGGCGTCCTGAGCGCCCGCACGTAGGCCGTGCGCTCCGTCGCGCAGCCCGCGGCGAAAGAGATGATCAGGTTCACGACGAGGATCAGCACGATCTCGTGCCACGGGGCCGCCATGGCTCGCGGTGGGCCGGCCCCCAGGTGCGCGTCCCAGCGTCCCAACTGATCACCCGAGAAAACTTTTGTGCGACAAGAATACCTTGGATGTGTATCATCAGCATTTTGAGGTCAGCAGGATCGGCGCGACGATGGGGGGCTGCTTTCGCTGCCCGTGTCGGCGCTGCTGCTGCCGCGCGGCATCCGATTCGGCGCCGGCGCGCGCGCTGAAGACGCGGCAGTGCGTCGTCGAATTCATCATGGCGGCGGCGGTGTCGTTCTCCGCCGTCGCATTGACGGGCGCCGTGAACCGCACCCTCCTCCTCTTGAGGCCGACGAGCGCCGACGCCTGGTGCGCGCTCAAGATCAAGAGCGCGTGGATCGACGCCGTCTGGGTGCTCGTCGCCTCGGCGACGGCGGTCTTCGCCGTGTTCCTCGGCCTCGCGGCGCGGCGCGTCCGCCTCCTGCGCGCCGCGGGGCGCGTCGACGAAGACGGCGACGGCGCGGCGGCGAGCGACGACGCGGCGGCGTGCGTTGGCGACGGCGCGGCGGCGAGCGACGACGCGGCGGCGTGTGACGGCGACGGCGCGGCGGCGAGCGACGCGGGGAGCGACGACGGCGCGGCGGCGAGCGACGACGGCGGCGCCGCGACGACGCGCGCGCGCTGCTCCGAGCTCCCCGCTTGGATCGCGGCGCACGCGGCGTCGCCGCGCGCCCGGGAGACCGTCGTCGAGCTCGAGCGGGAATGCGCGGCGTGGGCCGGCGCGGACGCGGTCCAGGCCGCGCTGAGCGCGCTCGACCTCGACTCGTCGCCCGCCGCCCAGGTGGCGACCATGGCCGTCGTCGCGGCGCCCGGCGCGCTGGCCATCGCGGGCCTCGCGGGCCGGCCGGCCGTGGACCCGGCCGTCGTCGACGTCGTCACCAAGCTCAGCGCCGTCGCCGCGGGCCTGTGCCTCAAGGAGGCCCTCTGGTGGTGGGTCGGCAGCGTCGACAACGTCCTCGACTCCTTCGTCGTTTCCGCGGTCCTGCTCTTCGTCGCGACGCGCGCGACGGACGTCGTCGAGTGCTTCGTGCGGCGGTGCGACTGCGACGGCGGCGGCGCGTCGCGCGGCAGCATGCTCCTCGCCTTCCACGAGTCCATCTGGTGCGTTCCCCAGCCGCGCGGCCGCCGCGTGATCGCTTTGCTCTAGGTCCCAGGCCATCGGCTGGAGCATCGCCGGCGGCGTCGCGTCCATGGCGTCGCTCGCGCTGCCCGGCGAGGACAACGTCGGCGGCTTCGACTTCGCGCTCGTCAACGCGCCGGCCGTGACGTTCGTGGCGGGCATCGTGCTCAGGTGGCTCCTCTACCGCGTCGACGCCGCGCGCGAGAAGCAGGCGCGCAAGGCCGCGGAGGCCGACGAGGCGGGCGCGCCGCCGCGGGCCGCGGCCAAGCTCGAGCGGCGCTGCCGCCGCGCGGCGCAGCACCTGCACCTCACGACGCTCGCGCTGGGCCTCGTCGTCGGCTGGTCCTACGAGGAGGTCGCGACCCCGGCGTCCCGTGGCGATTCTCGTGGTGAGCGAGAAATCTAGGTCGCGACGCGGGCCATCTGCCTGCCGGTCATCGAGGACGCGGCGCCGGTCGCGCGGGTGCTGCTGACCTGGCTCAAGGCGGCCGTCGCGGCGAGCCTCGCGCCCGCGGCCCGCTCCGGCGTCAGGATTTTCTGGAGAGAGTCGGGCTCGGATCGTCGCGCGTTTTTAGGCCTGCTCGATGCTCGCGGCGTACCGCGACGGCCTCGCGCCGAGTCCCGCGCCGGCGGAGGGCGACGTCGAGGACGCCGCGGCGCCGGCGGAGAACCCGCTCCAGGACGACGACGCGCGCCGCGACACGGAGCTCGTAACGGAGGGGAGTTAGCTCGCGCGGGCTCGGATCCTCTCCCGCAGCGCCGCCGCGACGCGGTCCGCGGCGCCCGGCGGCGCGGCGCGGAGGAAGAGCTCGCACCAGCCGCAGTCGACCTCGGAGACGAGCCAGGCGCCGTCGCCCGCGGGGAGGAAGTCGACGCGGGCGACGAGCGGCCTCAGGCCGGGCAGGACCGCGGCGAGCGCGCGCTCCGCGGCCGCCCGGAGCGCGTCGTCCGCGTCAAGGGCCTCGACGGGCATGGAGGCCCAGGCGTCGTCCGCGGCGCCCCAGCCCTGGGGCTTCTTGCGCACCGCGTGGGAGAAGTCGCCGTCGACGAAGACGAGGCACGCCTCCCCCGAAACCGTCACGTCCTCGAGGTACGGCTGCAGCAGGCACCCCGCCTCCGGAGGCGCCTCGCCGTCGTCGAGCCGCACGCAGCCGCGGCCGCGCGTGCCGACGAGCGGTTTCGCGACGACGCGCGTCCATCGTCGCGTCGCGTCGCGCAGCGCCGCGTCGACGTCGTCCCCGGGAAGCGCGACGCGCGTCGGCACGGCGCCCGTCAAGTCGGCGAGCCAGCGCTTGTCGCGGCACCGCAGGATGCCGCGCGCGTCGTCGCGGGGCTCCCAGGCGCCCGGCGCGTCGAGGAGCGCCTCGAGCGCTCGCGGATGCTCGTCGTAGTCCCAGACGCCGCGCGGCAGCAGCCCGCGGCACGACGACGCGTCGCCGCCGCCGCGCCAGTCGGCGCGTATGTGCACGGCGAGGCCCGAACGCTCCAGCGCGTCGATGAGCGCGCGGTCGTCGCGGATGGGCAGCGGCTCGTCCGGGCAGGTGAGGTAGAGGACGATCGGCTTGTCCTCGGCGGCGACGAAGGAGCGCTTCTTTGTTAAGAGGTTGTGCAGCTCGTCTTGCGGGGAGCGCTTGTTCGTCATTATTGCAGTTGAACGCTCAGCGGCGCTCGTTATGCCGCTCGACGCGGCAGATTCGGAGCTTGACTACTTAAAACCGTTCGACGCGCCGCCTTGACAGGGCAAATTTGTGCGCCATGCTTTGTGGTAATTTTTGTTGATGCTCGCTTGAATGAGCGCTTGAATCCAAGTGAGCGCCTCGATCGGTGCGCAATGGGACGGCGGGGCAAGCGTCCGACGACGCCGCCGGCCGTGCCCGGCGGCCCGCGCGTCGCGTCGCCGACGGACGCGCAGGTGCCGCGGTCCTACGGCCGCGAGGAGGAGGAGGGCGCCACGGAGTACAAGCTGTCGCTCTGCTCCGCCGGCAGCAACAGAGTCAAGAAGCTCGTCACGCAGTGCCTCTACCGGCTCACGGAGGGCCACGGCCGCGCCGTGTACCGCGTCGGCGTCGAGGACGACGGCACGCCCAAGGGCCTGGACCGGGCGGAGCTCGGCGCGAGCTTGCGGACGCTCCGGTGCATCGCGCGGCAGAACGGCGCCGCGCTGAACCCCTGCGCGGTCTTCGAGGTGTCGCCGGGCCACTTCGTCGCCGAGGTCGTCGTGGACGTGGGCTGCGACGCCGACGACGCGTCCCTCGACGCCTGGGTCGGCGACGGCGAATTCGCGCCGGAGCTCGCGGCGCGGCCCGAGCGGTCGACGAAGTCCGCGCGGCGCGCGTCCAAGTTCGCCGCGAAACGAGAGAAGTGGCGGACCGCGGCGACGGCCGAGGCCGAGGACGACGAGACGGAGGAGGACGACGACGACGACGGGTCCGCGCGGCGCGTCGCGGTCATCGGGAGCCAGGGCAGCGGCAAATCGACGCTCGTGGGCGTGCTGAAATCGGGCATGCTCGACGACGGCCGCGGCCTCGCGCGCCAGCTCGTGCTCCGCCACGGCCACGAGGTGCGCGACGGCGGCCGCACGTCGGCGCTCAACGAGGTCCGCTGCGGCGGGCTGCGATTGGTGGACGGCCCCGGCTCGGAGAAGTACCTCAAGACGACGATCTTCGGGTTGACGGCGTTGCGGCCGCGCGCGGCGCTCCTCGCCGTCGACGCGCGGCGCGCGGCGAAGCTCGGGCGCATGACCCTCGAGCACCTCGGCGTCGCCATCGCGCTGCGGATCCCCGTCGTCGTCGCCCTCACTCACGCGGACCTCGCGGCCGACGTCGAGGCCGCGACGGCGGGCGTGCGCGCGGTGCTCGCGCGCGCGGGCGTGCCCGACGCGCGCGTCGTCGTCGTGTCGTCCGTGACGGGCGCGGGCTACGACGCGCTCGAGGCCGCGGTGGACGCCGCGTGCGGCGACGGCTCGGAGACGGAGGCGTCGAGCGACGGCGAGGAGGCCGACGCGCGCGCGCCGGCCGTCGTCGTCGACGCGGCCTTCCGCGACGTGCCCGGCGCGGGCACCGTGCTCGGCGGCACGGTCGTCGGCGGCGACGTCAGGGTCGGCGCGCGGCTCGCGCTCGGGCCCGTGGATTTGAGCGGCGCCTTCGTCGACGTCGAGGTCACGTCGATCCGCGTCGAGGGCCACCGCCGCGACGTCGCGCGCGCCGGGTCGTCGGCGACCTTCGCCATCGGCCACGGCGCCGAATTTCGGGTCGCGTCGCTCCAGGGCAAGGCCGTCGTGGAATTCACGGCGCCCGACGCGTCCTCCGCGGCGGGCGTCGCCACGCCCAAGCCGCGGACGAAGCGCGCGCGGTGCCGCCACCGGCGGCGCGCCGCGGGGCTCGTGCTGCTGCCGCGGCCGCCGCCGGGCGCGCCGCGGCCCAAGGGCGCGACGGTCTTCGCGGCGGACGTGCTCGTGCTCGCGGCGCCGGACGGCGGCCTCGCCGCGGGCTTCGAGGCCGTCGTCCACGCGGACGCCGTGCGCCAGGCCGCGCGCCTCCTGTTCGCGGACGGCGCGGGCGGCGTCGCCGCGGGCTCCACGCGCAAGTGCACCTTCGAGTTCCTCTACCACCCGGAGTACCTCGTCCCGGGCACGCGGCTCATCCTCCGCGACGGCAGGACCCGCGCCGTCGGCACGGTCGTGAGCGTGGACGTGTAAGGGAGCCTGTGATGGCCGGCTCCGGAGCGACGTCGCCGCGACGCGGAGTTGGCCCGTCGGGGCGAGAAGGAACCCCCCTCGCGCTGGGACGTCGCGGCGTCGCGACGCAGAGTCGGAGCTCGCGAGTGGCCCGATTGAGGAAGGGAAGAGACGACAGTACGGCATGTTGACCACATGTTGACCACAAGATGCCGCGCCTTTCTCGATCTTCGATCAGGCATCTCAGAACAACAACTTCTGCAGCCGCTCGCAATCAACATGGCACGCGCGTCCCACAGCGTCCTTGCACGAGAGACGGTTTACAATCTCCACTGCGAGCGCCTCGGCAGCGCGTCGACGCGCAAGAGCTCGAACGCGTCGCTGACAGACGCAAGATCCATCCTTGACAGCGGTGCACCCCGCCGCAGGCCTCCTCCTCGCGCTCCTCGCCACCGCCACGGCCTTCGCGCCCAAGTCCACGAGTCGCTCCAGCGCCCTCGACCACCACGGCCCGCAGCACCACGACCTCCTGTCGCGAATGCACTCGGCGCGGCAGGACTGCACCGTCGTCTTCGACGCCGAGGGCTCCTACTGCCTGGAGGATTCGCTGTCCCGCCCCGCGGCGCCCATGACGCGCGCGGACGCGCTGACGTGCCTCGCCACGGACGAGTGCGAGGTCCCGGAGCGCTACGCGAGCCTCCTCGAGGTCAAGCGGACCGGCGCGAAGCCGTCGCTCCAGGTCTTCGACTCCGAGGGCAGCCACATGCGCTAGGACGCCCCCCCCCCCGATCGATCGCAGCCGCCCGGCTCCCGACGAGCCCGGCCGCTCCGCGCCGAGACCGCGCGCGCGCGTGAGCACGAGACGCGCGCGCGCGCGGCGCGTGTGAACCAGGGCTCCCCTCTCGAAAAGTTAAGTCGCCTCCGCCCCGGGTTCATACAAACAAAATTTAGGACGGGGGCATGAGATCGAGGACGTTCATGGGCATGCCGTCGATCTCGGTCGAGTAGTACTGCTCGAGCTCCTCCGCGCGGCCGAGGACGTCCGCGGCCGCCGCGTCGATCTCGTCGAGCTCCGTCGCCGCCTCGGCCACGCGCGGCAGCGGCGCCTCGACCGCCGCCGGCGGCTTCTTCTTCTTCTTCCTCCTCGGCTTCTTCTTCGCCTCCGCGGCGCCCGCGTCGTCCGGCGCCGGCGGCTGGACCCAGGCCGCGCCGGCCGCGCCGCAGCCCTCGGCGCACGTCGCGACCAAGATCGTCGCGAAGTCGAGCTCCAGCCCGGCCTGCGACTCCATGCGGAAGTAGTGGAGGAGCTGGGGCATGACCTGGAACTCGAACTCGCGGACCGCGCCGCACGGGCACCGCGGCGGCCACGACTTCGGCGGCCGGCCGTGGCTCCCGTGCCAGAGCGGCCTGCCGCCGCGGTCGTAGCGCAGGACCTGGGACGGCTCGCGCGCGATGCGCGCGAGGAAGGTGACGACGGAGGGGTCCGTCGTGCCGGTGATCTTCAGCTCGTCGACGGCGACGGCGGCGTCCGCGATCCGCGCCTCGGGCGACGGCTCCGCGCCGGCGATCTTGTCCGACGGCTCCGGCTCGACGACGATCTCGTGGCGGGGGAGGCCGCGCGACGCCGTCGGCGACGGGCCGTCGTCCTCGTCCTCCGACTCCGGCGGCGTCTCCGCGGCGTAGCGGCCGTTCTCTCGCGGGAGCCGCTGCTCGACGACCGCGGCGGCGGTCCCCGGGTCTTTTTCTGCACATTTCCCGCAGCAGAAGACGTAGACCGCGCGGTGGAAGGCGGATGTAGGTTTGTCCAGCGGCGCGTAGATCTGGCAGAGGAACTGAGAATCGGTCCCGCAGGCGTCGCAGGCGTTCGCCGGCGGTCCGTCGAGCCAGATGGGCGCGCCGCCGGCGACGCCGCCGTCCCAGTTGTTCCAGTTCTTGTTCTCGAATAATAGCCGGTTCTTGTAGGGCAGCGCGTAGCCGAGCTGGACCTTGCCGTCGTCGTCCGACTCGGAGACGTCGGAGTCGAGCGCTTCGAGGATCGCTGCCATTGTTTTTTTGTGGTTGGTTTTGCGTTCGCGTGCGCACGGAGGTCGCAGGACCGCTTGGTTATGGGCCCGAAGCGGCCGCCATATCGCTTTTTTGATAGGCTCCCTTTAGAATGATCGAACCATCGGTCGGTGAGTATAAATACTAAATCGCTCGCGGCCCTCGAGCAAGACGAATTTCGCTTCTTTAGCTCAGTGGCAGAGCACTACCCTCGTAAGGTAATGGTCGATGGTTCGATCCCGTCAAGAAGCTACGAACGACCATATCATTCGGAGAGCACCGCTTCCCGTCAGCTCAGCGAAGTTAAGCCGGATCGAGCTTGGTTAGTACTACGGTGGGTGACCACGTTGGAATCCCGAGTGTTGTTCGTTTTTTTTTGCCTCTTTTTTTGCCCCTGCATGCCCATGCCCCTGCATGCCCATGTTTTTTCAAGTTGTCCATGTCTCTATGCCCCTAGCAACGCCCCTGCATGCCCCTGCATGCCCCTACATGCCCGCGTGCCACCCAGCAAAACCGGCCTCATCGGAGATAGTTAACCGCGCATCCGAAAGGCGACACGAAGCCGCCCGCGCTCTGGAAATGGCGAAAGACCGCGCCGTTCCCCTCCTCGGTGCCGAACGCGTGCTGGGGGACGTACGCATCGTCGACGGCCGCCGCAGCGACCGCCGCGAGCCGGGCCCGCGCCTCGTCGTCGTCGACGTTCGCGGTCTCCCGCGGGTCGTCGCGGAGGTCGAAGAGCCACGCCTCGCTCGCGTCCCCCGGCCAGCACTGGATCTGGTCGTAGGCTGTCACGTTGTAGAAGCCGAAGGTGTCGAAGCCGCACATGTACTTGTAGCCGCCCTGGACGACCGCGGCGAAGCCGTCCCCCGCGGCCAGGACGAGCGCGCGCGCCTCGAGCGCCTCGTCCGTCTCGCCGTCGCGGAGCGCCGCCCAGTGGTCGCGCGAGTCGTAGGCCGCGTCCAGGGCGCCGCCGGCGAGCGCCGCGGACCGGAGCGTCGCGAGCCAGTCGACGTGGTGCATCGGCGTGGAGTACCGCGCACCGGCCCGCCCCGAGTCGAAGGACGACGCGTAGAGGAACGCGCGGGGACTTTGACGCCGCCCTGGAAGCCCTGGAGCTTGGACCCGCGCAGCGGGTGGTTGGAGCCCGCGAGCTCCGCCGCGCACGGGTAGCCGCCGTTGTCGGAGACGACCGCGACGACGACGTCGCGCGACGACGACGCCCGCAGCGCGTCGAAGACGCGCTCGACATTGTAGTCGACGGTGACGAGGGCCTGCGCGAAGGCGAGGCGCTGCGCGAAGAGGCCCCGCGCCGCCACCGCCTCGAGCGTCGGCCGCGGACCGCCGAATGCGGCGGTCCAGTTGGCCGCGTGGAACTGCGCGTTCGAGTGGGGCGCCTGCCACGCCGCGTAGAGGAAGAGGGGTTTCTTCCCGTCGACGTCGGCGACGGCCGCGAGCGCCGCGCGCGCGAAGACCTCGTCCGTCGGGACGGTTCCGACCGTCGCGTCGTGGAACGCGAGCGCGCCGTCCGCCGCCTGGCTGAAGAGGTCCTTCAGCGGCGCCGAGCCTACGGGGAAAAAAGCTTCGCGTCGGAACCGCCGCGGGACGCCGCCGCGGCACCGCCGGCGCCGTCGACGAAGTCGCGCTCGGCGTCGGGCGTGTAGTCCAAATAGGAGAGCCCCGGCGAGAAGTAGCCCGTGAAGCCGTCGAAGCCGCGCGCCGCGGGCAGGTACCGCTCCGAGCAGTGGCCCACGTTCCACTTGCCCACGCCGCGCGTCGCGTAGCCGAGCCTGCGACGGATCGTCGTTCGGACGTTCACCGACAGGTGCGGGACGCCGCGCCCGCGCGCGCGGAGGTGGCCGGGCAGGAGCTCGACGCCCAGGGGGATGGAGTAGTTCGAGTAGGGGAAGACCTCGCGGTCCAGGGGGTCGTTCGACGAGAAGCCGACGCGGTGCGCGAAGCGGCCCGAGAGGAGCGCCGCGCGCGCGGGCGCGCACTGCATCTGGCCGTAGTAGGTGTCGAGGACGACGCCGCGCCGCGCGAGCGCCTCGAGCGTCGGCGTGAGCCCGGCGAGGTCCGTGGCGTTCGACCCCCAGGCCACGTCGTTGTGGCCGACGTCGTCGAGGACCACGAGCAGGATGTCGGGTTGTCGGTCGGTCGAACGACAGCGCGGTGATGGTGAGCGTCTGTCGTTCGCGGAAGAGGCACGCCGCGGCGAAGATGCTGAGCGTCGCCACGGCCGGCGCCTGCCAGCGCCGGCCCATCGTCGTCGTCGGGGCAGCCCTCGAGCTCGAGAAAAAAAAAGGCAACATGGGACCAAATCGACGTAAAATGCGTCGATTTCTCTCGGCTTGCCGTATACGATTGCTAACCAGCTAAACGAACACCAACGTTAAAAAAAAAAAAAAAACAGGATCCGAAGGACAAAAAAAGAGAATGCGAATTACCCGGATCGAACGGGTGACCTACAGATGGACCGTGAGATCTTCAGTCTGGCGCTCTCCCAACTGAGCTAAATCCGCAACTTGCCTTCAACTTGAAGGTAGCTTCTTGACGGGATCGAACCATCGACCATTACCTTACGAGGGTAGTGCTCTGCCACTGAGCTAAAGAAGCATCCGAGGAAGACCCCGGGAACCCGAAGGCGCCCGGAGGCCTGCCCCCGAAGCCAAGAAGCATCCGGGGAAGACCCGGATCGTCCCCATCAAGAGGAAAAAGAAGAAGTGACACCTCACGTGGGGCTCGAACCCACGACCACACGATTAAGAGTCGTGCGCTCTACCGACTGAGCTAGCAAGGCGCGCTACCGTTGGAGGAAACGACTGGTCCTGCTTGATGGAAGTTACCGTGGCAAAACTCTTTATCAAGGGGCTGCCCCACGGAATCGGGCTGCCCGGGTCATCCCTTGCGCTCGGGTCGAGCATGGTGGACATCCCTTGCGCTCGAATCGATCCATTGCGACGGCGTTCCTGATCCGTTGCGCACGATGGCGGAGCTCGTCGCCTCATCGGCATCGTCACCACTGGTCGTGTGCTCGGGTCCGCACGGCGCGCGCGTCCGCGCCGACGCGTCCCTGAGCTCGGCCCCGGCCTTCGAGATGCCGCGCGGCGCCGTCGCGCGCGTCCTCGCGCGGCGCGGCGTCTACCGCGACGACGGCCGCAAGGCGGAGCGGCTCCTGATCGATTGGCGCGGCCGCCAGGGCTGGGCGAGCGCGCCGTTCTTCGCCGCGGTCGACGAGACCGTGCGGCGCCGCGCGTCGTCCGAGGCGAAAAAAAACGCGCAGAAAACGGGCACCCTCCCGACGGACTTCCCGCCGCTGCCGCCGCCCGGCCCGTCGGACGCGCGGCTCGTGTCCGTCGTGACGCCGACGACGCCCGCGCGGCGCTGGGCGCACGCGAACCTCTACGAGTGCTTCGCCCGCCAGACCTACGAGCCGCGCGAGCTCTGCGTCTACGAGACCGGCGGCGCCGCGCCGAGCGCGTTCTGGCTCGAGGTCGCGGCGAGCGACGGCCGCGTGCGCTACGAGCACGAGCCCTCCGGCGACTCCAACCTCGGCGCGAAGCGCAACCGCCTCGCGACCATGGCGCGGGGCGAGGTGCTGGCCCACTTCGACGACGACGACTGCTACCGGTCGGCGTACCTCGCGCGCATGGTCGCGGGCCTCGGCGCGTCGGATTTCGCGAAGCTCCGCGCCGGAAACGGCCGGCGAGCCGGCAAAACTTCAAACCCTCTCGGTCACATCGAAGGCTGATATTCGGACGAATCGTCTTCTCTCTCGTCGTGTTGCATATTGTGTTTCCCGCCCAGGCGAAGCTCGCGTCGTTCGCGTGCTTCGACGTCGAGCAGAGCGAGCTCCGCGTCTTCGACAGCAAGGTCGACCGCGCGGCGTCCGAGGCGACGCGCCGGGGCCTGTGTGCAAATCAAATCTTCAACCCGACTTCAATGTGCGCTTATGCGAATGTTTTGACACGAGCACTTCCGCCGTGCTTCGAGAACTCGCTAAGAGCAATCGATTCGTCCAAAAATCAGCCGAATCGACTTCGATTTGACCGAGCTAGAGAATTCTGAAGTTTGGCCCCGACGTCCCAGCTCACTGGTTGATTTGCACACAGGCCAGGGCTGGCCCGAGTGGCACTCGCGGACCTGGGGCTTCGGCTTCTGCTACGTCTACACGCGCGCGCTCGCGCTCGCGCACCCCTACGACGCGGCCTGGCACATGGGCGAGGACTACTCGTTCCTCCTCCAGGCGTCGAAGCGCGGCGCGGCGTGCGTCGCCTTCACGGACGACGACGCGGCCGACCCCGCGGTGCTCCACGTGCTCCACCAGGGCTCCACGGCGCAGACGCCGGCGCGGCCCTGCGGCGCGGACGCGCGCGGGTTCCTCGAGGCGGACCTCCTCACGCTCGTGCGGCGCTCCGGCGCGCGGAAGCTCGCGCGCGTCGCGGCGGCCGCCGCGCGCGCGAGGCGCGGGCTCGCGGAGTAGAATGGGCGCGGTAAACGACGCGACACACTCCGCGAGCCTCGGACGCGTGCAATATCCCGACCTCCCGACCTCGGGCGGACGCCGTCGAGCGCCAGGTGCAACAACCGCGTCAAGCGCCCAAACAGGCGATACGAGAGCTCGACGAGAGGTGATGCGCCGGCGTCTCCGCTGCGACCACAACGCGCGCACGACCCACCGACCGTCGTAGGCGCGCCATGGACAAGGCTTTGAAGAAGAAGGCGAAAATGCTCAAGCGCAAGCTCCAGGGCGAAGCGAAGCAGCCCGACGTCGAGGAGGGCCAGTCGCGCGCGGCGAAGAAGAAGCGCAAGGCGAAGAAGAAGAAGGCGCCCGAGGACGACGACGACGCGGAGGACGTCGCCGCGGCGCCCGCCGCCGAGGAGGAGGCCGCGGAGGAGGCCGAGGCGGCGCCCGCGCGGCCGTCGAACGCGACGTCGATGTTCAGCGAGACGCGCTTCGACAGCCTCCCGCTGACGGACGGCACGCAGGCGGCGCTCAAGGCCATGGGCCTCGAGAGACTGTCGAAGATCCAGGACAAGGCCATCCCGCCGCTCCTCGAGGGCCGGGACCTGCTCGGGAACGCGAAGACGGGCTCGGGGAAGACGCTCGCGTTCCTCATCCCGCTCGTGGAGCTGCTGACGAAGGCGCGCTTCCAGCAGCGGAGCGGCCTGGGCGGCCTCGTGATCTCGCCGACGCGGGAGCTGTCGCTGCAGATCTACGGGGTCCTGCGGGAGCTGCTGAGCGTCGCGAAGCACGGCCACACGCACGGTCTGGTCATCGGCGGCGCGAACCGCCGCGGCGAGGCGGAGCGCCTGGGCAAGGGCGTGTGCATCCTCGTGGCGACGCCGGGGCGGCTGCTGGACCACCTGCAGAACACGTCCGGCTTCGTCTTCAAGAACCTGCTGATGTTCGTCTGCGACGAGGCGGATCGGATCCTCGAGCAGGGCTTCGAGGACGACCTGCGGGGCATCGTCCGCTGCCTGCCGGGCACGCGGCAGACGGCCTTGTTTTCGGCGACGCAGACGCGCAAGGTCGAGGACCTGGCGCGGCTGGCCATCAAGAGCGAGCCCGTCTACGTCGGCGTCCACGACGCGGAGACGACGTCGACGGTCGCGGGCCTCGAGCAGGGCTACGTCGTCGTCGAGCCCGGCGACCGCTTCCGCCTCCTCTTCTCCTTCCTCAAGCGCCACGCGAAGAAGCACAAGGTCATGGTCTTCTTCTCCTCCTGCAACGCCGTGAAGTTCTACGCGGATCTGCTGAACTACGTCGACGTGCCCGTGCTCGACATCCACGGCCGCCAGAAGCAGGCGAAGCGCACGGCGACCTTCTTCGAGTTCTGCCGCGCCACGTCCGGCGTGCTGCTGTGCACGGACGTCGCCGCGCGCGGGCTCGACATCCCCAAGGTCCACTGGATCGTGCAGTACGATCCGCCGGACGACCCCCGCGAGTACATCCACCGCGTCGGCCGCACGGCGCGCGGCGGCGATGGCGACGGCAAGGCGCTCCTGTTCCTCATTCCGTCCGAGCTCGGCTTCCTCAAGTTCCTCCGGGCGGCCAAGGTCGCGCTCCACGAGTACGAGTTCGCGGTCGGCAAGGTCGCGAACGTGCAGTCCGCGCTGACGAAGCTCGTCGAGAAGAACTACTACCTCCACAAGGCGGCCAAGGACGCCTACCGCTCCTACCTGCTGGCCTACGCGTCCCACGGCCACAAGGACGTCTTCAACGTCCACGCGCTCGACCTCGCCGCCGTCGCCGCGGCCTTCGGCTTCGCGGTGCCGCCGCGCGTCGACCTCAACCTCTCGGCGCGCGGCGACACCCAGGCCCGCCGCAAGCAGGGCCGCGGGCCCAAGGACCAGCGCCGCGCGTCCGGCCACGACTTCTCCGCGTCCAACCCCTACGGCAAGCGCGCCAAGGGCGACGCGCGCCAGTTCGCGCACTAGGGGGTAACCGGCGTCTCCTCCGGCCCTTCGCGCGGGGGTCCGGTGATCGAGGCCGCTGGCTGCGAAGTACGTCTCGATATCGATCGCGCGCGCCGTGAAGGGCAAGAATGCACGCACCCACAAACCCGACGCTCGCCGAGGTTTCTCAGGCAGATTGGGGCAAACCCGTCGGCGTCTGCATTGGTGTGTCGGCCCCGAGCGAGACGCGCGGTGTCGGGGGCCCGATGGCCCACCCGCAAGACCCCGCGGCCTACGCGGGGGCGCCGGGGTTCCCGGGGGAAAAGCGCCTGGACCCCCCGGCGCCGCCGCCGCACTACCTCCCCATGGGCCTGAGCCCGCTGACGACGACCCAGGACCTGCGCGCGGCGCTGCCCCCGACGAACTTCGCGCCGCTCGCGGGCTACGCGCCGGGCTCGCCCTGGGCCGCCGACGGCGGCGGCGGCTGGGCCGGCGGCCCGCAGCCGGGCTGGGGCGCGCCGCCCGCGGCGCCCGCCGCGCCGCGACCGGTCTCGATACCGGCGCGGCCGGCGTACGCGCCGCAGCAGGCGCAGCTCGGCTCCGTCTACGCGCCGTCGTTCCAGCCCGGGGCCGCCGCGCCGCCGGCGACGGGCTTCAACGCCTTCCCGGGCTTCGGCGCCCCCCAGGGCTTCGCGCAGGGCTTCGCGCAGCCGAGCCAGGGCTTCCCGCAGCCGAGCCAGGGCTTCCCGCCGCAGCAGGGCTTCCCGCAGCAGGGCTTCGCGCCGCAGCAGGGCTTCGGCGCGCCGCAGGGCTTCGGCGCGAACGCGCCGCAGGGCTTCGGCGCGAACGCCTACCAGCCCTACGGCCAGCCCTACGGCCAGCCGGCGCCCTACGCGCGCGCGGCGCCGCAGCCGGCGCCGCAGCAGCCCCGGCAGCCGCCGCAGCAGCCCCCGGCGGCGCCGGCCGGCGGCGACACGCGCAAGGACGACCGGCGGCGCCGCGGCGAGCGGTCGTCGCGGCGCAACGGCGACCGCCGCGGCGCGCCGCCCCGCGCGGCGATCGAGCTCAACCGCCGCTTCATGGGCTGCCGCAACGCCGGCGACGTGCTGGCGCTCTACGACTCGACGAAGTGCGTCAACGACGTCAACCTCGCCACGGCGTTCACGCGGCTCAACCGCGGCGAGAGCGGCCGCGACGGCGAGCACCGCCGCGGCGGCGGGCCCGGCGCGCAGACGGCGCTCGCGATCCGCAACGACGCGCGGTTCCACAACATGCTCGACGAGGCGTGGATCAACGTCGCGACGGACCCGTCGTGGTGCGGCCCCCAGTCGCTCGCGAACATCGCCCACTCGCTCGCCAAGCTCGGCTGCGGCACGCAGCTCAAGGAGCGGCGCGTCCTCGCGGAGATCGCCAAGGTCGCGGAGCTCCGGGTCAAGATGTTCTCCGCGCGCGAGGTCGTCAACGTCGCCTGGGCCTACGCGACGGCGCGCACGGGCGGCGGCTCCTTCTACGCCTGCCTCGCCGAGGAGACGGAGGCGAGGGCCGCGGAGCTCAACGCGCAGGAGCTTTCTATAGCTTCTTGGGCGTTCGCGACGGCGGGCCACGCGTCCGACGACTTGTTCGCCGCTTTGGCGAAGGAGTCGGAGCCCAAGGTCGCGACCTTCAACGAGCAGAACCTGTCGAACACGGCCTACGCCTTCGCGCTCGCGGGCGTCCAGCAGGGCAGCAAAAGAGAGCGAAATTCCCAACTTCAAAGGCTCCTATCTCGGCCGTTTTCCACTCGTTTCGGCTGATTTTTGGACGAGCGATCATCTCTCGGAAGGTTCTCGAAGCGTGGATGCGTTTCCCGGAACGCGCGCGCGCGGAACACTCACGTTGAAGCGACGTTGAATCACCCTTTTGCTGCCCAGGCGTCCAGGCGCCGGAGCTCTTCGACGCGCTCGCGCGCGAATCCGCGGGGCGAGCGTCGGAATTGTCCGCCCAGGCGATCTCGAACATCGCCTGGGCCTTCGCGACGATCAAGCACAGCGCCCCGCGCCTCTTCGTCGCGCTGGCGTCCGAGGCCGAGCGGCGCATCGCGTCGCTCAACACGCAGAACATCGCGTCGATCGTCTGGGCCTTCAACAACGCGCGCATGTCGCACGCGGTGCCGCGGCTCTACGTCGCCGTCGCCAACGAGGTGCTCGCGCGCCTCGCGCGCCCCAACGCGCGGGACCAGTTCAGCCCCCAGGGCATCGCGACGATCATGCTGAGCTGCGCGACGTCCTTGGCGTCGCCGGGCGTCGTCTTCGAGGCGTTATCGGCGCACGCGGCGACGCGGCTCCACGAGTTCAACACGCAGGACCTGGCCAACGCCGCGGGCGCGCTGCACGCCATCGGGGCGTCGGCGAAGGCGCGGGAGCCCCTCGAGGGGTCCAACTGCTTCGAGCACGACGAACTCGCGCGGTGCCGCGAGCTCTGGGACCGCGTCGCGCGCGCGGCCGCGCGCATGGAGGGGCGCCTGGGCGCGTTGGGCATCGCGGCGTTGGTCCACGTCTACGCCAAGGCGAACCAGAAGCCCCGGGAGCTCTTCTGCGCCGCCGCGCGCGAGGCCGCGGGCCGCGCGCGCCAGTTCTCGCCGCAGCAGCTCGCGAACGTCGCGTGGTCCTACGCCAAGGTCAACGTCGACGCGCCCCAGCTCTTCGAGGCCATCGGCCGCGAGGCCGCGCGGCGCGCCGACGACTTCAAGCCCCAGGAGCTCGCGAACATCGCCTGGGCGTTCGCGACGGTCGGCGCGGCGACGACGGAGCGGCTCTGCCGCGACCTCGCGGACGCGTGCGTCGCCGCGGCGGCTTTGTTCAAGCCCCAGGAGCTGGCGAACCTGATCTACGCCGTGGCCATCGCCGGCTGCTGGGGCGAGGCGCGCCTCGTGGCCGCTTTGGAACGCGCGGTCGTCGGCGTGCCGTGGTCCGAGTGGAAGGTCTTCGAGCTTCGAAGTCTCGCGCTCGTCCAGTACCACGCCAAGGCGGAGGCGGGCCTGGAGCTCTTCCGCGACGACGCGACCTTCGACACGGTGCTGGAGAACGCGCGGCTGTCCGCGGACGTGACCGTTTCTCGCACCCAAGCCGAGGTGAGCCAGCTCTTGGGCGACCTGGGCTGGGCCCA